TCTCTGTCTGTGAGAACAATTCTGATCTTTCCATAACAATTCTTGCTGCATTCTAACCTTTTACGTCACAAAACACACCCCGTCTGGTCGGTTCTGGCCAATGGGAATACTCCCAGATGAACCGGCAAAACAGCTCTTTAAAATGTCGGTACTTCCTGGTCTAATCAGTTCTGTGAGGGTTCTGTGAGAGTTCTACTCGGTTCGGTTGAGTTCAGTTCTGCTCAGTTCTGTGCGGAGAAGCCCAGTTCTGGGAGCCGGGAAGATCCTGACATGACAACAGAGCTCTTCCGAGTTCCATGGGATCATAACATTTTCCACTGAGGTGAGCTGTGAGGGACAAAAAGCTGCTACTCCGGACGAGTAACAGCATCCTGCGGAGACGCTGAAGGGTGCGTTAAACGGAATCTCGCCTGAGACATCTCCAGGTAAAAGAGTCGATTTCACCACCTAAGTGTACCGTAAGGAGAAGCTGAAGAAAGCCCAGAGAGTGCCGTTCTGTTCACACTCCCTCAAACCCCATCTTTTACTCTTCTTTAAACTTCTTTCCCATCTTTAAACTCTTCTCTCAAGTAGAAATTCTTCCAGATATTTAGAGATGTCTGTGTAAAGTGCTCATCCACCGCCGTGTGGGTAAAAGATCATAATTGTACAGTTTTCATAAATGTCTGTGGTGAAGCAACGGAAAAATCATGGCCGTATGATTTTTCCTGATTGATTGCTTATGTTGTTATTTTCATAATTTGCCAAATTAATGTAAATGTTTGATGTTAAACTTTGATTCTGTAAATAAATGACCGCATTCGTTTTGATGGGTCAAATATAAATGACGTCTCACGTTTGCATTTCATTAAATTCAATGCATGTTTTATTCAGTTCAGAAAAATGAGGAATCCGCGTTAATTGATGAATATATCTGAGCATCTGTTCATCTACATTACATTATGGAAAATAATGACCTTTATCACAATATGCTAATTTTTTGAGAAGGACCTGTAGTAGCTGTAGTAATTATTGTCAAATTTACGAAGAAATGTTGGTATATTTTGTGCGTAGTACCTTTTTTGACCACCAGATGGCATTATAAGACAGTATGAACCGAAGGATGGATATTGAGGGAGCGAGCAGCGTGTCTCTTTAAGAAAAATGGGGAAAATGGGAGGGAAGCAGTCTGCCCCTCAGATAAATAATGTTATTATTTTTAAATATGAATGCTTCTGTTGACTTATTTTATATATAAATATTTCTGTTCAGTGCTCTGAGACAACTTCTGTTGTGTTGTGGCGCTATATAAATAAAATGAATTGAATTGACGTGACATGGGATCTCCTTCATTTTTATCAGTTCTCAAAATGGCGGATGCTTGGTGTGGTTTGAGCTCTTTAGCATAGCATTTTTCACACAAAGCTTTCAATAAAAAAAAATCAGTAAACAGCTTCTTTTGGCAGAGAAAAACAACTTTTTACACGAAGGCACCATGAATTTTGGAGCTTCAACAAGACAGAGTTTTTTTCCCCAAGGTCAGCCTGTTAGCTTAGTTTGTAGCTTAGCTTCTCAGCTTAGCTGTTTTTAATGATCCAGAAATGTGATTTTGGATCATTAAAATGGATTTTAACGATAAAAGAGAAAGGGAGGGGTCAGTGAAGAGCATCAGAGTTGTGCTTTTTGTCATCCAGTGTCTTCAGTAGAAAGAGACACAAAGAAACGATAAAGCGGATAAATGAAAATCAGGTAGATAATTTTCATTTATCATGCGATTAATTGATTTATTGTTAATCGCGACAGGCCTTGTCTCAACCAAGGGAGTCGAACAGCTAGAAAACAGGGGGCTGATTAAACTAATTGGTTTCTCTTTAAATTCTAAAAACAAATCAGAAAAAAAAAACAACAACCTAAAAACAGGAAAACCAGACATAACAGAGCAACTTGAAACCAGTGGCTTTTATCTTTGTTTTAGGAGCACTGACTGCTTGAACAGTGGTGTGTTGACATACATGTGCAATTATTTTTTACCAGAAACCAAACGTGTAGCAGCAGGTCAGGTTTTCAAGTCATTTTTGTCTGTAGTTGGCTCTGTGTCCAAAAAAGCATTTATCACCTGCTATCAAAGGTAAAAGTGCAACAGTAAATGAATACATCGGTCTGCTGAGAGTTCAGTAAAATTTTGGAATAATACATTCAGCTTCTTCCTATGATCATCGACATAACATGATCTTTGTTCAGCACACGTATATTGCATAGTAACACCGACTTTGTTTAGTAGAGAAATCCGTGACAAAAGTGTAGAGGTTTAATACCTGCTAATGTAGAAATAAAAAAAAAACTCTTTTATAATCCTGAAAATTACACAATGACAGAACCATCCCTTTAAACTTAATAAGCGGTACGTCGATGCCCTCTGTTTTTGATCAGAGTGTTTTTCTGGACTGGAACTGAACAGGGAATGTAAGTAAACCTTAATGGTTATGGTGCAAAATATTCAAGTGGGGAGGAGTTAAAATATGGATAAGAACAGAGGTGGCTTTTTCTTCTTTCTGAGGCTTAAACTTGAGACAATGACTTCGAGACATTTGTAGCTCATGTCTAAGAGTTGATCAGCTGATCAGGGTGAGACGCCAGGAGTTTACAATATTGAGCATCTTCACAATATTCAAATTTTCTCAAAATGACAAGAAATAAAAGCTGGAAATATTTCACTCTGTAATGAACCCATGTTATATGAGATTTACTTTCTGAAATGATTGACAAAAATATTGAACATTTTCACGATATTTAATTTTTTTTTTAGATGCCCCTGTATATACAGTATATACCGTAATTGCTGGTGTAAAAGCCGCTACATTTTTCTTACACTTTGTACCCCGCGGTAGAGGTAGAAGAGAATCACGTCAAATTTATTTAGAAAGTTCATTTAAAAACAGCAGTTAAAAGTTTTTACCAATAAAAATCAATGGCACTAATTTAATGAATATTTACCGCATTTTACCAGTACTATTTGACTTCTGGTCAAACAACCTCTATTAGACTTGGTAATATTTACCGGTAAATAATTTTTTTATAATTTCAGTTATATAGGTGTTTGGCACTGTTCTGTCCAGTGATTATGCTTAGAAAGTTAGTGTTCATTTTGTAGTCAGACAGCGAAGCTTCATGACGATCTTGCAGTCTGAACGTGTGTTGAAAGCATGCTTCTGTGAAACTCCACCTGCTGGCTGGTTCTTGTACTACAACAAGAAAGCTGCACACAGCCGGAGCAGTCGGGGGCACAGTTCCTGATGATGAATGGTGGATGCCCGCGGTTAAATAACCGGAGAATGATTTATCTTAAATGCAGCTTAGAGACAGGTGCGTTCTAAAGCCCGACAATTACAGTACATTTATATCTTTTATATCTCCATCTGGGATTTTGACGTGGCTATCAAATTTTCCATAGGAACCTTTCATACACCTATATGCAGCCACACACCAACACGGAAATCAGTACCTCACTTATTTTTTCAAGTCATCATGTTCACAACATGCATGGACAAGAGGCCATTTTCAATTCGTTCTATTTGCTCAGCAACAGGAGACAAAAAATTGCAGCGACCACACACATAAATCCTCTACTCATGATCTATCTTCCAAACCTTACCCTTCTGAAGAGCCTTGACATGTCCAGGCTTGTTCTGCATGTAGACCAGACTTCGTTTGGTTATCCGTACAGGGCTCCGCAAAGGGCTGATGGCATCAGGGATTTTCTTAAGGTTGTTCAAAGTGCGCATCATTGAGTCCTCATCGTGAACTAATGGCACAGAACTGGACGTCTTCGTGTTAGCCCCGTGAATCTTTGAGGGGCTGAAGCTTTTCTTTGGTGTAACAGTGAAAACGCTGTAGCTCTCTGGCAGAGGTTCCTCCTCGGTCGTACTGCTAACCTTGGACACCCCGATACAGTCAGTGGAAGAGCTGGGCTGAGTTGTGACAGTGCTCGTGTCTACATTGACTTGCGCTAAAACATGAATAGCTTCTGTTAAACTCACACCTTCTTGTGGTAAGGAATCCAGACTGATTGTACTAGATACACAATACACACTCTTAGTGCCATCTTGTAGACCATGGCCATCGTTCTCATGAGAGATGCTGGTTGAAGAAGGAGGACAGAACTCTTGATGAAACAGATGAGATGAACAAAGACCGTCTTTCCCTTCAGCCTTGCCTTCAAAGACAGAGTCCTCTGGTTGAGACGAAACAGCGACTTCTACGGTTGTATTTTGAGACACTTTTAGGGCTGCTGGGGTTTCATTCGAATCAGCGACAGCTTCTTTAACAGAATTCAGATCAGAAGCATTTTTAGGGTGAGTATTTTGTTGGCGATGTCCAGAAATGTGTTCAGACGTGTCGCTGGGATGCGGTTTGTTAATGACACCAACTGTTCCAGGTTCAGTGACATGGCTGTTTGAGACCAGTTCTGTTTTGTCTTCATTATGTTTTAAATTGTCCTCAGTTTTTAAAGAACTATCATCTGTAGATTTTGGTAAAAGGTGCGCAGTCATCAGATTTTTGTCTCTGTCCAACGTTTGGCAGTGAGTTAAGATGGGTTGGACTGCACTGCTGCTTATGTCGCCTCGTTTTTTGTCTTTTTCCTGGACACTTCTCACATCAGTCCGTTCAGGACTTGAGGCTTTGGGATTATCTGGAACCTGCTCCAAAACGTCTTTAGAGTCTGTTTCTAATTCACTGTTGTCTGCTTCATCAATGACGCACATGTCTTCCATGTTAACCTGCGAGTCGTTCTTTTCTACATTTGGACTGCCATCCACGGGTAGCTGTGGCTTTTTGTTGGGCGAGAGGGTTAGATTCAATGTTTCCATGAAACACAACTTTCTGTCTGAACTTTTTTCATTCACTGTGCTTTTTTCACCCGCATCCATTTTTCCAGATCTTTTATTGACTGCTACATGGAAAGTTTCCGATCTTTTCCGAGCCCTTAGATCCACATTTACGTCGTTTAATTCTTTAGGTTTGGATTTATCGTGTTTTTTGCTCTCTTCTGACAGACTGCTCCTCTTGTCATGCCTTCTTTTACTTTCTTCCTTGTGCCCTCGGTCCCCTTTACTTTGGTGATCCTTCTGTCGGCTTTGTTTTGTGTCTTTGTGGAAATCACCAGAAGACTTGACATGCTGATATGAAGAAGGGTTTTTACGGTCCTTTAAGTTAGAATGTGACTCAGGTTTGTGGTCACTTTTTATTTTTCTGTATTCTGGGCCAACACCGTCACAGTCTGCCCTTTGGACTTTATCTGGCCTCCGGTCTAGACGGTCCCCTTTCTTGTCGTCAGAGGAAGAATGCCTTCTGCGTAAACGGTCTCGTGAAGAGCTTTTCACTCGATCTGGTTGGCGGTGTCCCTGAACGTTTGTGGACTTCTGGTGTTTCTGTGAGCAGCTGTCATACTTGTGCTCTGTGGCTTTGTCTTCTCTGCTAGAGGATTCCCTTTCAGAAGAACAAACACCCCTGCTGGAACGTGAACAGTCTCTGGACCTCTTATCTGTTGGTTCAGACAGTTTTTGATCCGGATACTTTCCCTCGCTGCCTCTGAGCCTTTGTTTGTTCGATTTGTCAGCTTCTTCATTGTCCCTTTTAACGTGGCTATGAGGTGAGGATCTTGTGGATCTGAACAAAGTATGACTTTCTTTCCTGGAAGGTTGAGACAGATCCCCTGAACGATGATCCTCCTTGGATTGTGACGATGGAGGTGGGGGAGGACTAGACGGGGGCCTACTTTTAGAAATGACGGTAGGTGAATTTAGGTCTTGTAGACTATTTATCCGAGACTGATGACTGTGACGACCTCTTTCAGCCCTAAAAAACAAAGAAGTTTAAACAACAAATTGTTATATTAACACAAAAACAACCAGAGATAATGCATTTTTGTAGAATATGAAATGTGAATTAGGCCTCTCACACCAACAGATTTTGCTGGGCGATTGTCTCAGAAATTATTGAGATAAACAAAAATATTGTTTGAAATTTGACAATAATTGGTAATTATTGTCAAATTTAAGAAGAAATGTTGGTTAATTTTTGCATGTAGTACCTTTTTTCAACCACTGGATTGCAGTATAAGACTGTTTGAACCGAAGGATGGATAGTGAGGGAGCGAGCAGCGTGTCTCTAAGAAAAATGGGAGGGAGGACCCTTGTCGTGACATGGGCTGTCTCTCTTCAGTTCTTAAAATGGCGGACGCTCGGTGATTTGACCTCTTTAGCATAGCACACAAAGCTTTTAATAAAATATCAGTAAACAAGTTCTCAGCTTCTTTTTGCAGATAAAAACAACTTTTTACACGAAGGAACGGGTTTCAACCATGAATTCTGGAGCTTCACCAAGACTTGAGTTTGTTCCCCCAAGGTCAGCCTGTTAGCTTAGCTTCTCAGCTTAGCTGCTTTTAACGATCCAAAAACGTGATTTTGGACGATTAAAACAGATTTTAAAGAGAAAGGGAGGAGTCAGTGAAGAGCACCAGAGTTGAGCCTTTTGTCATCCAGTGTCTTCAGTAGAAAGAGACACGAAGAAAGGAAAAAGCTGATAAATGAAAATGAGGTTGATTATTTTCATTCATCATGCGATTAATTGATTTATTGTTTATTGCGACAGGCCTAGTGTGAATGTGGCGTTTTAAATGATTACAACTTCTACAACTAAGCTAAAACAAGCAGAACACAGGCTAAAATGAGCTGAAAAAAAAGGCTAAAAGCAGCTAAATATTAGCTAAAAACTAAAAGCAGGCAAACAGATGTTCAAGGTAAAGTTAGTTAACAGATGCTAACATTAGCTACATGTAGCAGAACAGATCCTAAAGCAGCCTTCTCTGTAACTGTCAGAGTAGGAGGCTGGAGCCACGTCCAACATCAAATGTTCTGTTTGGTGAAATGTTGGTGAACGCAGACTGTTTGAACTCTGATCACTGGTGAGAAAGTCTCACCAGCATCACAGACATGAAAAGTCATGAAGTCATAAACATCAGCTGTCAATCAATTTGTTGAGGAGTGAGAACGAGACGCGTTGTAGCAGAACGTTACTTTCAGATGAACGTGGTCTGCTCATCAATAAACAGCGTTTGTACTTTTTAACACCAGCTGACATGAAAACTAGTCCTGAAGGAAACTCCACCTCACGTTTCTCACCAAGTTAAGGATTAAATCTGTTCAGCTGGTGTTTCACATTTGTCTACTTTTTATTGTTACTGCCGTTTTCTCTACTCAGCTGTTTACTCCATCTACAATATAATAATCCATCCTCTTCCACCTCATTATATTCATTCATTCAACCTTTATTTAACAGGTTAATATATTATAACTGTGAGCCCAGTTGTTGGTTCTGTTCGTTCCTATGGTCTAAAGCTCAACTCGAGGCCTGCAGGCCAAATCTGGTCCTTGTAAAATATTGTTTTATCCTTAAAAAACATTTTAAATGCACAAAAAAGGCTTAAATCATGTGATCTGGACAGACCTGATTTAATCCATCCATTATCTTTTACCTGCTTCTTCCATTTGGGGTCACGGGGGTCACCGGTGCCCATGTCCAGCAATCACTGTGCGAGGGGCGGGGTACACCCTGGACGGGTCTCCAGTCCATCACAGGGCCTGATTTAACCCTTTATTGTGATTTATCTACCTGGATGACTGAGCTTTCAAACCTTTAGATTTTAAATGCAATACTCTGATTAAATTAGAATAAAAATGAGATTAAATTAAGTAGCTCTTGGATCTGCTGTAACGGTCCCTGATGGGTTTTATTAGACTCTTGATGTTTTCATGGCAAAAACAGAACACAAGTTTAACTCTGTGCATTAAACATTTCCTTCATTATTTACATTTTCCTGTACGCCTGTCTGTGTTGTGTCTCCTTCTACTTTTCTTTTCCTCGTTCCCTGGGCATGATGCAAGATCAATCTGAAGTAGAGTTTTTGAAAAATCTGTAAGACTTTGTACATCCGTAATCATGAAAAATACGTAGAACTTGAATCTGTTAGACTCGACATGTTTGACAATGAAATGCGGTGTATACGTTTAGCAGTAGCGAAAAAAGGAAAAAAAACAACAACAAAAAAACAACATTTTCTTCCGTTAACGTACGGTAGGCGGCGTGGGACACTCGAGTAAGCGGCAAAATCACCGCCTGTTATTGAGAAAGCAGCTAAAGGTAAAAGAAGGAGATTAGAGAGAAGCTAAAAGTAGAACAAGTACGCTGAAGCAGATTTCTGAAAGTGTTTTTAAAGGAAATGAAGAGATTCAATGTATTTCTGTGAGGAATTTTCTTTAAAACTTTTGTTAAAGTATAAAATTAATCCCAATTGAGCTGAATGGTATTATGTAATTAATTAAAGTGCACAAAGTAAATGGACTGTACTTATAAAGATTTTTTTCTATCTAATGAAGACACTCGAAGCTCTTTACAACACAATCTGTCCAACACACACTCACACAGCTCTAACTCTCTACAAAGATAATCTGAATCTGTGGAGATTAATCAGAGCTTTATCACATTCATACACTGATGGGACACACATCAGAGACAATGAAACGTTCAGTGTCTTGCCCAGGAACACTTCAGCATGTGACTGCTGGTGGAATTGAACCCCCAACTCTCCCATTGGGGACGACTGCTCCAACCACTCAGCCACAGCTGCTCCATAGAAATAAGAAGCAGCAGTTGCCTCAGGATCTTTGTTGCTCCACCAGAATAAACAAGAAACTAATCAAGTACAAATGTTCATGAACTTTTCAGTACGTTTGTTTTCTGTCACCTGGGTGTCAGTTTTTAACTTTCAGTGTTGCTTCTTCAAACAGAAGAGCCTGCAGCTGGAGTTGAGTCACAGAACGTACCACTGAGTCAGCCTTTGAATCTCGGCATCTTTTCTCGTCACTTCTTGACGAGCGGTCCGTAAAAGTGCAGAAATGTTTTTTTTGAGGCAGAGGTTCTCTTTGCTCAACGCTGTATTCTGTAAACAGGACGAAACAAACAGGTTAGGGTTTATTATCCTTTGGCAGAGTCATAAAATACTAAAGAACTGCATCAATCAAAGCAGCCATTTTTTACCCTCTCACGCCAATTAAAATCTGAAAGATGGCTTCTGATGAACACCTGAAGAGTGTTTCACAGGGAATATATATATTAACATGATAAACTGCATTTCATTCAGATCTGAAATAGGCAGAGAGGCTGAATAGAATCCAAATAAGCTGAAATGAGCAGAAACGTAGCTGAAAAAGCTAAACAAAATAAAACAAAGAGGCTGAAGTGAGCAGTGAAACATCTAAGAAGTACTGTAGCACAGGCTGCCACATCAAAATCCAAGATGGCCACTGCCATGTGTGTTCAGGGTCATTATCATGTTGGAATCAGTGGTACTGTGGCCCAGTTTCTGAAGGGTGTGTGTGTGTGTGTGTGTGGGGGGGGGGGGGGGGGGTCATACTCTGCTTCAACACATCCCAGTACATGCTGGCGTTCATGGTACCCTCAATGAACTGTAGCCCCCACAGTCATCAGCACTCATGCAGCTCCACATCATGACACTCCCACCACCATGCTTGACTGTAGGCCAGACACATCTGTCTTTGTACTCCTCAGCTGGTTGCGCCTCCCCCCCCCCCCCCACACACACACACACACACACCCATTGAACCTCTGCAGCAATGTGGCCAGCTTCATACGTTTATTTTTAAAAACAGCCTCGGCCATGTTTATCAGAATCAGAATAAACTTTATTGGCATTGCACCGAGATACAACGAGAACATGTACGTACAGTCGTCCGAAAGATCGGCGGAGTGCACGAAGCTGCGGCTATTGAATAGCGCGGCCTTCTTATTCTTATTCAGAATAATATTTTGCTTAGATGAGAAAAGGGAAGAAAACATGGAGAGACGGTATAAAAACAAAAGATCTCCCACGCCGTGTCCTAGACAGGGAACGAATTGAGGCATAAAAAAAAACCTACCACAGCAAAGCAACATAAATAGACGTTATACATTAACATATAGGCCGGTGAAGACATTGAATTTTTAAAGGGAAAGTCATAGCATAGTCCAGAGCCCCCACCCCCCCCAACCATTGTCCAGATAAGAGGTGACATTCATCTTCAGCTCAGTTGAGGTTCTGTTACATGTCCACGGCCTTGGGGGAGGGAGTGGTGAGGAAACATTCAAAGCATCTTTGTTGTTTTCAAAACATTCCAGGAGGAGTTGAGATAAGTCCGGCGTCAAGGCCACAGTTTGGGTCAGGCAGAACTCGTGAATTGTTGTTTCTGCCTTTTTTAAAGTCTTGCTGGTATATATTCTCTGATGGAACTCCAAAACAGCCAAATTGATCCTTTACTCCAAAAATCTAGCTCACAGCTTCTCCAAGATTATTTCCACCATTCATGAGAGCTGCCAGGAAGATCACAGTCCTGATAACAGCTGCTCCAGCTCCCTGCTGCAGCTCCACAAATTCAATCTGAGCACTGTCGAGCTTCGACACATCCACACAAATTTATAGACAATCCAGAATTCACCAGCCAAATAGCAGAATCTAGTTGTCATCATGAATCCAATTTGTTTCCGTCGAGGTAAGAGGGTCCTCCTTATGCCCTGACTTCTGTCGGGAGAAGTTGATCGATTTTGTTGAGAGACCAGCTGATCCTTCCAATTAAGAGGTATGCAGAAAAAAAAAAAAAAAGGAGGCTTTTTAAGGGTTCACAGGACGAAAGAATGCAAGCAGGGAAGCGGGGGAGGTATGGAGCGCCGGGAAACACGTCTGTCTTCACTGGAGTACAGAGGGGAAAAAAATAAAATAAAATGTAGAGCAACAATTATTTTTTCAGACCTCAGAGCATTCTTTGACCTGAGGGGCCATGTTGAACTTCAGTTTGAGAGAGTATGAGAGCAAGAACACCAAATTTAAACACACCTGCTCCCCATTCACACCTGAGACCTTGTAACACTAACGAGTCACATGACACCGGGGAGGGAAAATGGCTAATCGGGCACAGTTTGGACATTTTCACTTAGGGCTGTACTCACGTTTGTTGCCAGTGGTTTGGACATCATTGTCTGTGTTGAGTTACTTTGAGGGGACAACACATTCACACCGTTACACAGCTGCACACAGCTGCACACTGACGACTTTACTTTATATCAAAGTGTCATATCTTCGGCGTTGTCCCATCAAAAGATTAAATATTTACAAAAAATGTGACGGGGGTACTCAATATGTGAGATACTGTGTAACATAAACTATGAACACACACTGACCACGCCTATCATTTGACAAAACTATGATTTTGTTGCTTAAAGTGGAGTTTAAACTCATCTCATGTTCAGACATTCACAGCGCGTGTCCAACAGTCTGCTGAGAGATAGAAACTGAAACAAACCTGCGTCTCCAGCTGCTCCAGTCTCTTGTTTAAGCCTTTAATTTGGGTCTGAGCTACTTGGAACCTGGAATTCAGCTGCAGACACACAAAAAGAAAAAGATGCTAAGAAAGATGCGACTGATACATTTTGGAGTCACCTCCTTCAAGAAGGCCACCCCAGCTGATAAAACTGAAACGTCTGATTCAGTGTGTTTATACTGAGGTAAAACTTGATGTGGTAGTAGCTGAGAGTCTTTTACAACACATACTCTGAGCACTTAGTGATCCTGTGACACGGTGTCACATTGTGTGACTTGATGCTAAATTTTATTTTCAGGGTTTGACAGAAAACAGCTAACTGGTCATTCCTCAAAATAAGACTGTCCCAGTCTGAAACTGGTGGTAAGGGTGGCAGGTGACTCCTCCAGTGAGAGCTCAGCCTTTAGTTTGACACTCAGTTCTTAGGGATGCTTGGTGTGGATGAAGGTGTCTGCATCAGGTCCAACCTCTGTGTATGACGCCTTCCTGCTCAGCTGTTCTTCTGCCACGAGGTCTTCATAAAGATCCAAATACTCGTTACGCTCAGAGTTACCGGGGGACTTGTCTGGAAATCAGTAAAATACTCGGATTACAATTCAAACCGACAGTTTGACCTGAAGCAAAACAAAACGTTTGTTGTGTCATTTGGAGCAGATTTAAGAGAAAAAAATAATAATACAGTGGTGAAATTACCTTCAGTGCTGCTGACACCAACATCCAGCCCATCGTAGATATCTACAGAGTCCTCACTGACACCAGGGGTCATATCTGCAGACAAGCACACGTTTGACTTACACCAGGTGCTACCATCAAACATTTCCCCCTAAAGTCTGAAAGGGACAGTTCAGATCTTTTTGAAGTGGTCTGGTACGAGTAATTCAGGAGACTGACAGACGTTTGTCCTGAATCAGGTTAGTGAGATGGGGTTAAAATGTTCACTTTCCTTCATGTTCAAGCTTCCTTCTCTGGAGGGGCAGAATGGACAACCCTCAATTATTATCCACCTGAAAAGGGTCTCGCTCGTCTATTAATACAGCCTGAAGTGCAATGTGTACCCACCCAAATCTATATGAAAACAACCGTCTCGGCACCGGGATGTGTGCCATTACTTTTATTGGTGTTTTGAGTTACCATGGCGACGTCATTTACAAAGACGCCATTTTTCCCATTGAAAAACACTGACTGAACTCTTAGCTTGTAACTGCCACAGTGAAGTCACATGACCTAGAGGGCAAACGTCCCTGAACAAAACACTGATCAACTTTTGGAGCTATTTTGGTTCAAGATGGCTGCCACGGCTACCTCAGATAAATCTAAAATTAATTATTTGAGATACTGAGCTGAAATTTGGTATGGTCATAACTGAGAGCAAGTTGTTATTCATTCCTAATGCAATTTAAAAATCCAAGATGGCCACCTTTGCTAAAAGGGAAAAATATAACAGCTATTTTAAAATATATTGAGCTGAAATTTAGTGTAGTGGTTCCTGACAGGGATGCACAACACTCTCTAAATACAAGTCTACAAATTCAAGATGGCCACAAAAGCTAATTTCAAACGGCTGTAACTCAGAGGTTTTTACCATACCATTTTATTTATAGAGCACTTTAAACAGCTACAAGGCCAACCAAAGTGCTGTACAGACAGAACAACAGGTAACACACAAAGCAAAATATAAAATTAAGTAAATCAGAATAAAGACATAAAAACGATGCAGATAATGACGACAAACCAGTGTGGAGCATACAGGATCAAAACACAGATCCTCTGGTGTTGAAAGCTACTAAATAGTAGTGAGTTTTTAAACGGGATTTGAAAACCGAGAGGGAGGGGGCCAGTCTGACAAGCAGAGGCAACTCATTCCAAAGTCTTGGTCCTGCTACAGAAAAGGCCCTGTTCCCTCTGCGCTTAAGAAGAGTTCCTGGAACTGTGAGGAGCAACTGGTCCGCTGACCTCAGGAAACGTGGAACGTTTTTAGAGCTTTTCAGCTGAAATTTGTTGTAATGGTAGCCGAGAACAATCCCCAATACACTGGATCCAAATCAAAAATCCAAGATAGACGTCACAGCTTACAAGAAAAAAACGACTGACTCATTGACTTTTTGTCAAGCTGCGCTGAAATTTGGTATAGTGGTAGCTGAGAGCAAACCCCAACACAGAATACTGTCAAATCAAACATTTAAAATGATCGCCACATGGCAGTCCCCGTCAAAGTTTCTCCAGGAACTTTCTAGCTATCCACCTGAAAAGGCTCTTGCTCTGTTATGAACTTTATTATGGCCTGAACCTCAACGTGTCCCCACACAAATGTTATATCCAAACTATCGGCTCAGCACTGTGATGTGTGCTATTACGTTAATTGGCGTTTCAAGTTGCCATGGTGACGTCATTTGCAAACAAAGATGCCATTTTTCTCATTGGCAAACACAGACAGAACTCTTATCAGCCACTAACAGTGAGGTCACATGACCTAGAGGGCAGAAGTCTGAATAAAAACTTGACAAACTTGTACTGTACTGGAGCCAAAGTCATGTCTACTGAAAACCAAAGTATAGAAATAAATATAATTCATCTTACATCAAGCCTTGTATACTTACAACCAGAAGCACTGCTACACTCCATCCTGTCAGATGCAGTTTTATTACCTGGGAACAAAACAAAAGTGTTCATTTTTACAACTGATAACCTCTAAACAAGAACTGATGACCTGTGATAAAGATTAGAGGTTGATGAATAAGTTTCTATTACTGATGTCAATATCAATGTTTTGTAATCTGGTCTTCGAGACCGATTTTTTTGTTTTTGATCACTGATTTCCCCCCCATTCAACCATTATATTAATTAATATTAATTGTCCTTTTTGACAAAAAAAAAAATAGTCAAGTGACAGTCCTAGAGAAAATATTTATGACACAAGATGTTATGGTCCACAGTATCGAAAGCTTTAGACAGGTCTAAGAAAAGTGCAGCACAATAATCCTTAGCATCCAGTGCTTCAACGATGTCATTATACACACACACAAACATATATATATATATATATAT